ATCCAAGCTTAGTTACTTGTAATAATGCTTAGGATTCTTTCATTCCTAGTTATTAGTTACTACGGACTGATTGAAGGAAGCAAAACATAACATGTTTTTAAATTTTTACTATTCTGTACGAATACTAACCAGACATAGAAGGAATATAAACTCCGACCACATCTAAGTCGATAAATATGAAAATCAAACGAACGGTAAAATGAAAGTACTTGGGTGCAAACTTCAACTGCTCCAACATGCTGAGAGAAGAAATACAATCTAGAATACAATCTAGAAATAAAGTATACTATGCCCTTCAACATCTGCTAAAGTCAAAGTGTCTGTCTCGCAACACTAAGATCAAAATATATAAAACGTTGATAAGACCAGTCGTTTTATATGGCTCTGAAAAATTTAAGCAGAAAAAAAAAAGAGACGAGGCCTTATTACAGGTTTTCGAAAATAGTCTTACGACAAATCTTTAGACCTATCAAAGATGCTAACAGCGGGAAATGGAGAGAGAGAAGCAACAACGTAACACATAATCTGTTTGAATCGCCACTGATACCTGACATCAGAGCTAACACTAAAATGGTTGGGACATATTGAAAGAATGTCAGATGACAGAGAAGTAAAAACTGTATACACCTGAGAGAGGAATGGGCGTAGACCATGAGGCAGCCAAAAAAAGAAGTTCGAGAGATAATGTCCAGCCAGACCTGCAAACAACTGGTGTCACAAATGGTAAAGAGAAGGCCAGTCAGAGAGATGAATGGAGACGAGTGATATCTGCAGCAGTAAACATCAAGGGCTCAGAATGCTAAAGAAGAAGATGACTATTCTGTGCTACTTTATGTGAAGTAAAAGCTCAACAATCATTTGACATTATAATTTCTTTTAAGATATATTTTATACACTATGCACTATTCGTATTCGTATTCATATTCGGTAGAATAGTTGGTCCCGTTATTCGCATTCGGCCGAATAGAGAAAATCACTATTCGGTACAGCCCTATCAAGAACTGACATCACAGCATCTTAAACATTCCTGTATTTAATCCAACCTCATTCTCAGCAAATTTTTTTTTTTCGCAAACGTATTGCCAGCCAATACAATCCAGTTTCGTCATTTTTATGACAAAATTTTTGGTTATTTGAAGCCCCACTCTGGCTTTTGCCAGGGGCTGCAATATAGGCAGGCCATAAATATGGCCAATTGTCTGAACGCGGTTTCTGGGATCTCTCCACGGCGATCCTCATCCACATGGTGGCACTTTATGTCATCGGGTGTTTATCGCTTGTGTGATGTCATAGTGGGGTAGAAAGTCATTCAGTCAGTCAGTAACCTTTTCCGCAGCGAGGCACCCGAGCCATTTGAAGGTGACGGGTTCCAGCACGGTGAGCATAGTTTCTTATCTGTGTGTGTGTGTGGCGTATGTGTCCTTCTATCTTTCTGCATCTTTCTATAAGTTACAATCAAAACATTGCCTCTTTTATTTAGGTTCTCAAGGGTCCCCCCTCTGTTCATCTCTGTGTGCAGTGTCAGTCACATAGTTTGGTCACTCGCAGTTGTGTCATTATCTATACACCGTAAGGATGTAGTCACGCTTCTGCATGGTTCACTTGCTTCTAAAGGTCCTAACCACATCTAGTTTGTCATTTATCGGCCAGTCTGACTACCGATTCTTAATGACTGGACAGCATTTGCCAATCGCACTCCACTTCCAGACCCTAAATCTACAGGCATGGAATATTCCGGTGTCAAAGATATTGAACAAGCAGACAAGCTGTTAAGTAGGACACTTATGCAAACAGAGAGAAGCATTGAGAGATGAGACAAGTAATGCTAAACGATCTCTGACCTCAACGCGATCATGTGCCAGAAAAGCTGGCACTGCTGTTCTCGGGGTTTATGATAGGAGAGTCATCACCATTTTCTCGAGAAAACAGTCAGCAGAGCGAGAGAAAGAGAAAGAAAGAGAAAGAGAGAGAGAGAGAAAGAGAGAGAGAGGGAGAGAGAGAAAGATGGAGGAGTGTTGCAACGGAAAACTGAACACCTCCCTTGTGCAAATGACTTCAATTGTGACATAACATTGCTTGACATAACATATTCACATGGTATTTACCTCCAATAATAGACGCAAAGAAAACAATTTTTGGCAACTTCTTAACGTTGGAATCACTTTTCATATTATAATGCACGGTCATAGCAATGGCGCAAAACACTGCTATAATAACGCCTATGATTTCCATCACCTTTACAGCGTCATCTTCACTATGTTTCACTGAGAACAAAGAGGCAGGAATGATATTAATGTGTGCTGGCCAACAATGAATGGGGGAGAGAAAAAGGTTGGATGGGTGGGGGTGAGGTGGGGTTGGGGGTGGACGCTCACTCAAACAAAAAAAAAAAAAAAATAACAACTAGTCACCTTCCATATAAAGAAACATCCTAAATGATAAATTGAATTTTGAGCCCCATCACCATTATCATCAGTAAAAAGTAACGTAAAGTAATGATGCCTTTTTACACCTTACAAGAGTATCCCATGGGAAAAGCATCCCATATTTTTATAGACCAATCTGCACTAGGTGGGTAATGTGGTCAACATTACGCCGGCCGTCTTTACTTTCCCAGGACAACCGTCCTGGTGCCATCTTAAGGCTGGGTCGACCTGCGACGCCCCGCACCATGAAGAAAACCCTCCAAACCAGCAATGCGTTTCGATCGCGGTATGTTGGAATTACGAGTCGGACTCACAATGCCT